GATGCAGACGTTGCAGCTTCTATACGGGCACCTGGAGAAGATAATCTATGCATTGCTTGCGAAGATCCATGAGGTTCCTGCACCCAAGGCAGAAAACCTGCATACGCTTATTGCCTTTGGGGTGGCAGTGCAAAATTTCTGCGATCATCTGGAAGCTGCGGGTCAAGTGTTGCATCTGTCCAACCCAGTGCTACTGCAGGAGCTAGTGGACAAGTTACCGGCAAATCTAAAACTGGAATGGCTAACGTTCAAACGTCAGTTCCTGGAGGCCGACTTGCGCGTATTTGGCAGATACATGTCGAATCTGGTGTCAGCAGCGGCGGAGGTGTCCCTAACTCTGGATTCTAAGGTGAAAAGTTTCGTCGACGCTCATCTTGCTTCATCAAACGCGACGGATGCATTGAAACCAAATCCGGAATCATCGAATGCCTGTTTTATCTGCGGCAATCCGGATCATAGGGTGAAGGAGTGTGAAGCCTTCAAGAATATGTCTCGGGAAACACGGAAGGGAACCCTGTCGGTCTCAAGCTCGCTGTGATGTGCAAGGGTGTCGAATGCGTCATCACCCGATTCTGCATGGAAGTCCGGTGAATCCGATGTCCACAACAAGGCCTATACCACAACAACGAACCAGCGCACCGCAAACAGGAAACCAGAATGAAGATGTGAATGCTCATAGTACTCCGAGCTCCACTCTATTTCGCATTCTATCGGTTAAGCTCTTCAACAAAGACCAGACTATCGACACGCTGGCCTTTATCGACGAGGGCTCGTCCGTTACGCTAATGGAGAAGAGTCTCGCTGACTCGCTCGAGGTTTCAGGAGTAAAGAAACGACTGTGCCTGACCTGGACGGGAAACATCACGCGTGAAGAAGAAGACTCCCTACAAGTAAAGATCGAGATTGCGGGAACTGGAGGTAAGAAGCGTTATATACTCTAAGATGTTAGGACTGTTGAATCGCTGGCGCTGCCAAAGCAGACGCTACGGTATAAGGAACTGGCTGAACGCTATGAACATCGGAGGAAGCTGCCAATAAAGGATTTCGAATGCGAAGCGCCAGGAATCCTGATCGGCGCGAAGAACACTCACCTCACCGCTACCCAACAAATAAAAGAGGGTCAACTGGATGAACCAATTGCTGTCAAATGGGCAATCTACCGGGTGATACCGAAAGGAACGATCTGTCCCAGCTACAACCTTCACATTTGTGGCTGCGACACAGAGTGCGAGCTGCACGAGCTAGTGAAGCAGTACTTCACGGTTGAAAATACAGGAGTTTCAGTAGACCGGAGCCCCGAATCTGAAAATGACAAGCGGGCTAGAATGCTACTTCAAAGAACAACAAAACGGTTCGAAAACGGTTCGAAAACGGTTTCGAAAATGAGCTGCTATGGCGTTATGATTACGTAGAGTTTCCTGAAAGCTACGCCATGGCGGTCCGATGGCTGCAGTGCTTGGAGCGGCGATTGAAGGCAAGTCCGGAAGTGTTCCAGAACATACAGCAACAGATAGTGGAATACCAGGAGAAGGGATACATTCACGAAGCGACAGAGAATGAACTAAGATCAGCTGATCCACGCCGGATGTGGTACCTTCCGGTAGGCATTGTACAACACCTGAAGAAACCAAACAAGATTCGCATTGTATGGGATGTAGCGGCTGTAGTGGGCGGAGTCTCCTTAAACAGTATGCTACAGAAACGACCGGATCTAGTGGAACCCCTACCGGACGTTCTATCCGGCTTTCGGGAACGAAGAGTTGCAGTTGTGGGCGACATAAAGGAAATGTTCCACCAGCTTAAGATGCGTCGAGAAGATCGTTATAGCCAACTGTTTCTTTGGCTTGGAGAGCTGGGACAACCGATCAAGACCTTTGTAATCGACGTAGCAACCTTTGGATCAACGTGCTCACCATGCTCGGCGCAGTTCGTAAAAAAAACCTGAATGCAGCTGAGCACGCAGAGCGGTATCCGAGAGCAGCAGAGGCAATCCAGCGTCGCCACTACGTCGATGACTATCTGCAGAGCTTTGACAGTGAAGAAGAGGCGTGCCAAGTTGTAGAAAAGGTCAAATTGGTCCATAAGTAAGGTTATCCAACTCATCCGCGGTTCTCAGACGGGTCGGGGATGTTAATTTATCTCCAACAAGGATTGGAGAGTGAGTGCTGGGGATGCAGTGGAAAGTCGAAGAGGACGTGTTCGTCTTTTCCAGCAATGTTAAGGTGGAAGGCGTAATGGACGTGTAATTATTAAGGATATCTGGCGAACAAAGACTGGATGAGACGATGTAGTGAAGGGCGCAATTATGGAGCGATGGTGTGATTGGGCTGGAATGTTCAAAGAGCTAGGAGTTATTCAAGTACCACGTGCCTATTTCCCGAGCGTATCGTTAGAAGGAATTGGAGATCTACAGCTACACATATTTTTGGACGGCAGTGAAACAGCGTATGCGTGCGTCGCTTACTTTCGATAGGGGCATAGTAAATACCACAATGCCCTCGTATCCGCAAAAGCCAAGGTTCCACCATTGAAAACGCTCTCCATCCCGAGACTGGAGCTCCAAGCGGCATTTATAGGGTGCAGGATCATAAAAAAATTATGCAGCAGTCAGAGTCTACCGATTAGGCGAAAGGTATTCTGGACAGACTCTAAGACCGTCCTCGCTTGGATCAATTCCGACCACCGCCGCTATTGACAGTTCGTAGCCTGCAGGATAGGCGAGATTCTGTCGAAATCAAATCCCGATGAGTGGAGATACGTACCATCGGGGCTCAACGTTGCAGACGACGGTACAAAGTGGCGAAACAGACCAAATTTTAAGGTCACTGGTTCAAATGACGGGAGTTCCTAAGAAGTTCGGGGGAACAATGTCCCCTAAAAGCAGATGCAGAACTCACCGAAGAGGAAATAAGGCCTTGCCACATCCACATCAACGACATGCAAGAAGAGATCATCGATGAGGGCCGATTTTCGAAGTACGAAAGACTCTGGCGGACATTTGCTTACATCCATCGCTTTGTGGATAACAGTCATTGAAAGCGAACAAAACAACAGTTATTGACTTCCCATCTCAGCAGCGAAAAACTTGCAAGGGCCGAGAATGCTATCTGGCGGCTGACTCAACAATCCGCGTTTCCTGAAGAGATGGTACAACTCAAGAAGACGCAGGAAGGGCACCAGTCAAGGCTTGATCGTACCAGCCGAATCTACAAACTATCGCTATTCATCGACGAACACGGAGTCATCCGAATGGACACACGAATTGCTGGGGCAATATTTGTGCCATACGATATCAAATTTCCCATAATCCTTCCGAAAGGACACCGCCTAACCAATCTGATCGTCGACTAATACCACAGACGCTACCTTCATGCAAACCGTGAAACAGTCACCAATGAAGCCCGGCAACATCAACATGACAAAATTCGAGATTCATACCTACCAAATATTAAATAACTGATTTTTCACGGAGCATTTATCCATCTGCCATCGATCTTGCCCCATAAACATTATCCGAGCAATCCCCACAGTGGCCATCGTTTCAATTCGCAGCATCTCACCGTGTCCACCGTTCCATTTCTCCACACAGAGAAAACTCTTTTTCCCCGGTACCAAACGGTAAACTCTTTCAGACCTACAAAGTACGTCTGTGAACGTCACTAGAACTACTCCATCCAAAAGTGCATATTTAGGAACGAAAGATGGTGCTGACCAATTTCACAATACTCGACTGGTTTTTGTTGTTTTGCAACCATAATTGAAGCGACCAGTTGCTAATGGCTGGTTGTGCCGCCCTCAGTCAGATCATTTCAACCCCGCCTATTTAGTTTCAGCCGGATAGGGGCATTTGTTGTTGATTTCCCTTTTGTGTTTATGCAGGAAAAGTTTTTCCTTTACGAATTTAGAATAAACGATAGCTTAATGGGAAAGGATGTGCCTTGTTTTGCTGTGTTGGTTTTCTCAAAAAAGGGGTTCGGAAAGTAATTCGATAATTGAGGTTTGTCTTTGTAGTCCAATGTAAACATTGCCGCAATTTCGAAACAATTACCTTTCAGTTGAAAGATAACTTTATTTTCGCCGTACCAAAATATCTCGGAATGGTCAAACTTTAGCACAAAGTATCCATAATATGAAACATTCGTCTCGGTGGGGGAGACACACATTTGCTGCAGTTACCACTAAAATGGGTCATCGCCGTTCCAAGCACTGATGCCAACTAGTCAAGTGAGTCGAAGCTGCAAACAGCCTCATAAAGTGAAATAGTTCTCGTTTAGTTTAATGTCTCTCCGGGGTGCAACATCTTCTGCTCAGCCGGGATCACACGGGAGGATGGTGACGGCATAAGTGTGCCACAACCGCAACAACTTTAACTGCGCTTTACTGTGCCAACCGGGCGAGATATTATCAAGATCGTTCCTGCTGGACTTCCCCCTTTTGCCACTTCCTTTAAAACGGGTGGGGGTAACTATCTTGATTGTGCGTTTGCTGCGTCGTCGAGGTGGTTGACGGTTGGCTAATGTGGTTGAAACTTCCTCTTACCAAGTGCCTTACACGGGCGCGAACAACCCGGGATTATTTGCATAAACTGTTAGTGATATGTGTATAGTTTGCATTGGAGTAACTAAGGAAAACTCCTAAGGGGGATAAATTTACGAATCGAATTTTTCAATTAGGCAATTAGCGAACAATTTTTATGTGTATGGTAAATAAGTATTGGTAGTAACAACTCTAGAGTGGGCTACATTAATACAGTAGCAGTTGCCCCCCCGTAGTTACGCCAATGATAATTCGTATGGTGGAAATCCCCCGCAGAGGAACAAGTCAGCGCTTGAATTAACTGTTTCATCGTTCGCAGTTTGTGGACATTTTCTCGAGGGGCGAAACCTTTTTCACCTCCTTCTGCTCCGCAGCGTCGATTTCTTTCAGAGTGGCGATTTGGTTTGAACGTTGTCTCAAGTGCAATCAAGTAAAAGAAAGGAAAATTCTCCAAAGGCACTTACCTCGAAGCTCCGCTTCAAAATCGGTCCCGCCTGGGCAATGTACAGTGTGGAAGCCGCATCGAATATCAACATCCTCGGTTCCTTCTTCACCGTGACCGTCTCCGTTTCGACACAATTATTGTAGAACACAATCTGATTGTTCATCACTTTGAAGATCAACTTGATCCAAGATTTGGTATAGGGAATCTGAAACGACGCCAGCGGTTGACTAACGCGCTGCACGTTGGCATCCGTATAGATCAGCGTAACGTTCCACTGATCCGTGGCGATGATCGGTTCCAGCAGCAGCCCCAACTGGACGACCGTGTCCAGTGGGTTGACCACGCTGAAAATGTAACCACCGGAGCGGGAGCCGGGCCGAACCGTGGCGATGATCGTGAACTCCGTCAGCTTCTCCGGCAGGATGGTCCGGTAGGGGGATTTGATGTCCGCATTCGATGCCACGCCGAACGCCGGGAATCCGTCCGAGCCGTCGACGAAGGTGATGCCGTCCTCCGGGGGGATTTTGATCGCCAGCAGCAGGTCGAACTCCGCGAAGACATCTGGAAAGGAGGATGGAAAGGAGGATGCAAACTTTAACGCGTGAGTTGAAGCGTTGCTATCGTTAAGTTCGATGAGACTAACTGAGAAAGGGAGAGTCTCTTCTATTCAGATAAAAGATAAATTTACAAAAATGGGGTCTCATCGGCTGTGAGTGTGCTCGAAAATATTAGGCCTGCCCAACATTTTTAAATGTTACAATCCCTATCGACTGTCAGGTCAAACATTTTCATTTTAAACTAGAACCGGTTTTTACGCGGTATATTTTTAACTTTTTAACCTTTGCGTGTCGTCTAAATTTTATAGATTTCTAAATTCAATTAGCTCTAAAACATGATTTTTCATTTTTTCTTGTTTACAACAAAGTGAATTTTGTCGGGAATCTATTAGTGTTTTGGGATCAATACATGGTTCCGGAGTTATTCCGGTTCTCGTTGGGGTCACTTTGGTCGGCATTCGGCTTTACTGCATCACATTGCATCCCGGAAATGTTCTGGTGCCCCCGGCTAATTTTCGACAAGAACCAAAACCCATCGTACGACATATCAAACTCGACTGATAATGACCTTATTGATAGTCCACGGGCATGTTTTGGTGCCCTTAGAAATATTACGGTCTCTCAGAAAAGTGGCCGATTCTCGACAAGAACCAAAACCCGTCGCACGACATATCAAACTTCATGGTTTCTCTTAACTCGGCGGGTAATGGATTTATTGAGATGACATATTTACATTACCCTCGGGGAAGTGGTCAATTTTCAACAAGAATTAAAACTGGTCGTGTGACACAGCACAGTTTATCATTAAAAAAAAAACTCGGATGGTAATGGCCTTACTGAGAGTCAACGATCACACTAGTTCCGTTGGGCATGTTACGGTGCCCCGAAGAAGTAGCCAATTTTCGACAAGAACCAAAACCCGTCGTGTGACATATCAAACTTCATGGTTTTTCACAACTCGGCCAGTAATGGCCTAATGGAGAATTCACGGTTATATTCTCCATTATCTACCTGAACTAAACTAGGCATAATTTCAAGATTTAACGTAGTTCTGTCCGTTTTTGCTTTATTGAAAGTCCACGATCACATTGGGGCTCTCGGGCATATTCCGGTGCCCCGAGGAAGTGGACAATTCCCGATTAGAACCACAACCCGTCGTGTGACATATAAAATTTTATTATGGTAATGGTCTTATAGAGAGTTCACGATCACATTGGCCTTCCCGGGCATGTTCTGGTGTCCCCGGGTAAGTGGCCAATTCTCCAGAAAAACCAAAACACGTCATGCGACTTATCAAACTTTATGATTTTGCTGAACTCGACCAGTAATGGTCTTTTTGAGAGCCCACGATCCCATTGGCCCTGCCGGGCATGTTCCGGTGTCCCCGGGTATATTTTCAATTCTCGACAATAACCAAAATCCGTCGTGTGATATATCATACTTCATGAAAAAAAAAAATGAGAAATTATGTTTTTAGAGCTACTTGAATTTTGAAATCTATGCCAATTTAGACGTTAGGCACGCAAAGGTTAACAATCACGTTATCTGATTTGGGCCAAAAGTAATCAAACTGAATACTGAAAATATAACAATTTTTGGTGTAAATCCAGTTATGTAATACAAATGTGTAAAGTGATCCTACCATGGAAAAATCACATGAGCTAACATAACCCAAACGTTTGATAATGTTCAAGTATGTGAATTGATCACCGACCGACCAATTTTGGTTTTAACTTGGTTTTTTACGTGGTTTCCATATTTTTACAAAATCTGCAACTTTTGTCTCATTTATCAAACATTACAAATTACCAAACTAAATAAATAAAACAAATGAGCGAATCGAAATCTAGAAAAATGTGTGAGTAAAACGGAACAGCGACACCGCAAAAAATTGCGCTCTCTCGAATGCACACAGGCGAGATGTTTGCCACAAACCATCGAGAATTTTGTAGTGAACCTCTCATTCACACAATTCACGCAAGCAGAGCTTGGTCTACTTAACAAAGGGTCGAATTTTGATGTTTCCCCCCAGTGTGCCCCCTTTTCAGACATTATAAACAATATTGAAAGTGCCATCCAAAATGACCAACAAGGGTGTAAATCGGCAACTCGTCACAATGTCAAGCAATGCATTTCATGAAGGGCCCGCAAACAGAGCAACATAGAACGTATCAATTTCGACACTTGGTGTACGATCCGGTTGTTGAAAACCCGTGATGTGAGCTATTCCTGTGCGGATAAGGGAAACGCCGTAGTAATTATGGACAAGGACTCACGCGTCCGTAACTTGATCAATACTGGCCCGTATGACGCATATAAATTCAAGAACGACAAGTCAAAAAATCCTCTCAATTCGGTGGGAAATTACCCTTTCTGGATCTGATGATCACCAGGAAGCAGGACGACACACTGAAATTCGATATTTACCGAAAACCGGCATCTACTGATCGATCGCTTCCTAAAACACACTTAAACGACAAGGACTTGATATGTCCGCTATGTACGATGTTTCTACGATCTCCATGAATAATGCTGCTACCTCTACTGCTTCTAGACCACCACCATCACCACCGAGACGCATCGTGGATAGCACTGTGGAAGCCCCCGATTTCTCTGCCTCAGTCACGCTTATTCCAGCCAGCACTCAGCATAGTCGTCTCGGCCCTGAGTGTAGATGTAGGTCTGGGGTCTTCCATGCAGTTACTACTGGCAAGTATACTGACGATTCAGCCTCTCTTTTTGCTGATACCGCTTCAACTTCTAGCTGTGTTTCCGCTTCTGCGGCCTCCGCACTAGCCACACTATGTCTATACATCCGTCCTGCCAACTGCCAGCAGGTTTATGCCACCACCTGCTCTTCCTCGGATACGGGACACCTTAAAACAGGCACTGAGGAAGCTTCCGAACCTCCCGACCCAGTCGCGCTTGCTGCAAATATCCGCCATCTTCATCGTCCCGGTCCTGTGGTCGGTGATGGTATCGGGGGCTTCCGGCCTGCAACCTCAGGCGAGTATGATTGCGTTACCGAGCTTTCGGTACCTGATGTACTTTCGATTTCCAGCTCCCGTGATTGCTCTTCTAATGGTCTCCGGATCTACTACCAAAACGTGCGTGGGCTGAGGACTAAAATCGACTCGTTTTTCCTTGCTGTTGGAGAATATGCCGAATATGATTTGATTGTGCTGACGGAAACGTGGCTGGACGACCGAATTTACTCATCGCAACTTTTCGGGTCACTCTATTCCGTCTTTAGAACTGACCGGTCTCCCCTAAACAGTCAAAAATCGCGCGGTGGTGGAGTCCTGATTGCAGTATCAACGAGACTAGCCAGCTACGTAAGTACGTCACCCATTGCCAGTCAACTGGAACAGCTGTGCTGTGGATTGTCGTAGAATTTTCACAAATCAAGCTTTGTGTAGGCGCAATCTACCTGCCTCTCGCTCACCGTTCTACGAACGACTGTTGCGACTCGTAGTTATCGAAATTACAATAGTTTTCTCTATAATCGACACGTGAGACGCAGGAAGCGAACTTTCGCACGAATCCTAAAAGTTTTTGGTCGTTTATCAACTCCAAACGGAAGGAATCCGGGTTGCCTTGTTCCATGTTTCTCGGGAATGACTCGGCTAATAGCGAAAGAGAAAAAGGCGACTTGTTTGCTCGTCATTTCAGGCAAGTGTTCCACGATTTTTCCGCTTCGCCGGCACAAGTGCTGGATGCTACTGTTTGGGATGCCACGTGATGTGTTTAGTTTCGATATTCCGCGCATTTCAGCTGCAACACGCAAACTGAAGCTCTCGTTCGCCACCGGACCTGACGGCATTCCATCATCAGTTCTAAAACGTTGTGTAGCCAATCTCTGCCTTCCACTTACGAGGCTATTCAATCTCTCCGCAAAGCAATTTGAGTTCCCCTGCCGCTGTAAATTTTCTTATCTATTCCCAGTCTACAAAGAAGGAGATAAACGGAATGTCGCAAATTATCGTGGAATCACCTCCCTGTGTGCCTGCTCAAAACTGTTCTAGATTATCATAAATGATGCTCTGTTCGCGTGTTGCAAAAATTATATCGGTACAGAACAACACGGCTCTTACCCTAAGCGCTCCGTGTCCACGAACCTGGTGCAGTTTACTTCTAACTGTTTGCGATGCGTGGATTAAGGATGGCAAGCCGATGCTGCGTATATGGATCTAAAAGCTGCATTTGACACGGTGGACCATAATATCTTTCTTATCAAGCTGGAGATACTTGGCATGTCGTCAACTGCTGTTTCAGATCTTACTTGGTGAATCGCTATGTACATGTCAAGATTGGCGCGTCGGAATCGGATGTTTTCTCAAACAACTCGGGAGTTCCGCAAGGCAGTAACCTAGGACCGCTACTGTTTTCGATCTTTTTAAACGACGTCGCCTTTCTGATACCATCAGGATCCCGCGTTTTCATGCAGACGATACGAAAATCTACAAAATTATTAAAAGTCTTTCGGACTGTTGGGATCTCCAGAATATGTTAAGTATTTTCACTGGTGCTCAAGAAATTTGATGAGTCTAAGCATCGAAAAATGTAACATTATTTCCTATTATCGAAAAATCGAACCAATCATGTTTGACTATGTTCTCTACGGACGCTGTCTTGCTCGTGTAGAGCAAGCACATAAAGGATCTCGGCGTTACCTTGGACTGCAGACTCACTTTCAGAGTCCACTACAATGACATCATCTTCTTCTTCTTATTCGCATTTCAAGCTTATTGCTTAGCGCATATTAGCTTATTGGGTGCTCTCAACTTAGTGTTCTAAATGCACTTCCACAGTTATTAATTGAGAACTTTTGATGCCAATACCACTGCATGAATTTGTATATTGTGTGGCAAGCACAATGATACTTTATGCCCAGGGAAGTCGAGAAAATTTCCAACCCGGAAGATTCCCTCGACCGGACCGGGAATCGATCCCGCCGCCTCCAGCTTGGTAATACCGTGCCTTTACTGACTAGGCTATGAGACC